AAAAGAGAAAGAAGAGAACCAAAAGAAAAAGAGAAAGAGAGAAAGAAATGAGAGAAAAAGAGAAAGAATGAAAGAAATGAGAAAGAGAATGAAAGAGAGAAAGAGAAAGAGAAAGAAGAGAATGGAAAGGGAAAGAGAAAGGGAGAGAAAGAAAGAGAAAAGGAGAGAGAGAGAGAGAAACCCCCCTCCACCCTTCCTCCCCGCACTCTGCACGTCCTCAGAGGCGCCCATGCCTTGCCGTCCCTCAACTCACGGTGCGGGCCTGCCGTCGCAGCAGGTACAGCAGGAAGCTCCAGAGCTTGGCGGCGAAGGCCAGGAAGGCCCGGACGCCGAGCAGGCACTGCGACCGCATCATCCGGCCGGCGGGGCTCGCCGCGCCCCCGGCCCGGCCCAGCTCCGCCAGTTTCCAGCGGGGGGACGGAAGAGAGGAGGGAAGAGGAGGACGGCAGGGCCCTCCGGTCAGCCCGCGGGCCCCGCCATCCCGGCTCCCCGCCCGCTCGCTCGCTCGCTCTCCCGCCTGAGGGGGAAGCGCTGCCCCCCCCTCCTCCTCCCCCGCCGACGCTCGCCTTCGCTTCAGAGGGACACTTCCGGAGCAACCGACCGACCGCCCAGCGTCTACTTCCGAGTCGCCGTGGGAAAGGAGGCGCGTCCAATTAGAAGGCGAGGGTGGAGGAGGAGGCGGGGCCGAGAGGAAGTCGCGCATGCCCCACTGGCCTTTATTATTATTGTTTTTTTTTTTTTTTTTTAAAAAGAGGCCGTCGAGGAATTTTAAAAGCCGAGGGTGGGAGCCCGGGCAGTCAGCGCGCGGCATGGAGGCGCATGCGCCGTCAAGACCAAAAAAAAGAAAATCCCATCAGCGGAAACGCATGCGCGGAGAGTTCCCGCTTTTTTTTCCTCTCACCCAAAATTTTGAGCGCAAAAAAATAAAAATCGATTTAAATACAAAAATGTCAAAGCATTCCCCAATTTTTTATTTCCTGCTTCTTTTGTGGAGAAGCCGCGAAAAAGAACCGGCTGTGGGGTGGAAAATAGCAGGCTGGGGTGGTGTTTTTTTGGGATACGGAACGGATATTCAGGGACAGTGGTCAACACTGCAGGGTTGTTGTGAATTGGGTTCCCCCCCCCCCCAATGATTAGCATGATTCTTCTTTTAGGTCCTGGCGTCATTATGCAGCTGCCCCAATACACACACACACACAAAACACACACACACACAGGACCATGTTTCTAAACTGTGGCCACTTTTAAGACCGGCGGACTTCAACTCCCAGAATTTTTGTTGGCTGGCTGGGGAATTCTGGGAGTTGGAGTCCACCCATCTTAAGAGTCCTCCAGCCTGAGAAACGTTCTTCTAAGTCAGGTGTTTATATTTCCCCCAAAGATGCAGTCAATTAAGTCGCCTACACCACCAGGCATCTGTGCAAAAAAAAAAATATACATATTCCAAGGCAAAATTTTAAAACGCACGAAATTATATCAACAAAAGTGATGGTTTATTGTTTTAAACTTTACAGAAGACCGACTAAGAGGACTTAAAAGGATTTGGGTCTGGCCAGTCTATGGAAAAGAAGAATTAGGGGCGAAGTGGTAGCATGTATTTCAGTATTTGAGGGGCTGCCCCAAAGAAGAGGGCAGGGTCAACTTATTCTCCAAAGCACCTGAAGGCAGGACAAGAAACAAGGGATGGAAACTAAGTAAGGGAGAGAAGCAACTTGGAAATAAGGAGGAATTTCCTAAAAATGAGAACAATTAACCAGTGGAACTGCTTGCCACCAGAAGTTGTGGGTCCTCCAACACTGGAGGTTTTTAAGAAGAGGCTGGACAGCCATTTGCCTGGAATAGGATAGGATCTCTTGCTTGAGCAGGGGGCTGGACTAGAAGACCTCTAAAGTCCCTTCCAGCTCTGTGATTCTACTCTATTGCAGTAAGAGTCTCACGGAGCCAGTCCTGTTAGCACTCAGGTAATTTATTGGCTGCCCAGCTAGGAATCTCTCCTTCCTCGAAAGGACGGTTAAACCAAATCTCTCTCTCCACCCTCAGCAAAGCGATCCCGACCGATTTCCTGCAGGTCACTTTCTTACTCCTGTCTCTTTTTCCCCCACAGGAAGCAGGAAATCTGGATTGTTTTTCTCTCTTTTCAGGTGGCCCCCGGGTTCCAGTCCATTCCCAGTGCCCAGACTGGCTCTGTCTGCCATCATTCCCACGTTGCAGAGGAAAGCAGCTCTCCGGGAAGATGTAAAAGGATCCCGGTTCCAGATCTGGGGGGGGGGGGGGGGGTCAGTCCCCCTGTTTCTCCTTCACACGTCCAAATCGTCATCAGGATCTTCATCGTCAAAATCATCGGCGGCATCTGGTTCGTAGTAGATTTTGCCTTCCTCCGTCGACGTCTGCAGGAGAGAGGATTTCCTGGGAGGGGAGAAGAAAGCACACATTACACACACGCACACAAAGTATATAATATTTGTCTGTCTGTCCCTCTGTCCTCTCCCTCTCTTTCACACCTCTTTATCTATTCATCCATCCATCCTCTGGAAGTGGTGGGTGCTCCATAACTGGAGGATTTCCTGAAGGGATTGGACAACCATTTGTCCCCTGCTTGAGCAGGGGGTTGGACTAGATGACCTCCAAGGTCCCTTCCAATCTTTCGATTCTATGGTCTGTCTATCTAACCTTCCCCCCTCCCCATCTATTTACCTACCTACGTGTTATCTATCTACGTGTCTGTCTGTCTCTGTCTCTCTTCCTATCAATTTATTTCAAGAAAACATCCGTCTATCTATTTCAAGAAAAGATCTGTCTATTTATCTATTTCAAGAAAAGAATCTACGGTGTCTACCTACCTACCTACCTTCCTAACTGTTATCTATCTGTCTACGTGTCTGTCTGTTTCTGTCTCTGTCTGCCAATTTATTTCAGGAAAAGATCCATCTATCTACTTCAAAAAAGCATCTATACCTTTCAAGAAAAGATCTATCTGTCTATTTATCTCTCTCTCTGTCTATCGATTTTAAGAGAAGATCTATTTCAAGGAATCTATCTATCTATTTAACTAATCTTGAGGTCCTTAAGAGGAGATTGGACAGCCATTTGTCCGAGATGTTATAGGGTCTCCTGCTTCAGCAGGGGGTTGGACTAGATGACCTCCAAGGTTTCTTCCATCTCTGTTACTCTGTCATTCTACTTAGTGATGACACTGATGTGCTGCCTACCTCACTATCCCAGCGACTCCTAACGGCAAGAAGAACCAAGATGTGTTCGACGTAACCTCACAGATAAAGTAACCTACTTTATTTTTTATTTATATATTTGCACGCCGCCTTTAGCAATACCCTGAGACATACCCACTTCACAGTGCTCTACACCGTCTCTAAGTGGTTTACAGAGTCAGCCTCTTTCCCCCAACAATCTGGGTCCTCGTTTTACCCACCTCGGAAGGATGGAGGGCTGACTCAGCCTTGACCCTGGTGGGATTTGAACTGCCAAATTGCAGGCAGCTGGCAGCCAGTAGGAGTAGCCCGCAGTACTGCACTCTAACCACTGCACCACCAGGGATCTTATTAGTTTTACAAATAACTTAAGGTGCAAACATATCCAACACGCCCTTCCTCCTCTTTTCCCTACAACCACCACCCTCTGAAGTGGATTGGGCTGAGGGGAGGACTGGCCCAGTCCCCCAAACTTCCTTCACGCCTAAGATGGGACTAGAACTCACCATCTGGTTATTGGCCCAAAGTCACCCAACCAGCTTTTATGCTAAAGGTAGAACTAGAATTCACCCGTGGCCCTTTTTGGCGGAGCGAGTCGGGCAGCCGGTAAATTTTAACCCGTGGATAAAATGAAATACGTGAGAGGAAACGACAAAGGGATTTTTTTTTTAAAAAAAGGCCCTTACTTTTCCTCGCTGAAGTGGTACGGGAGAGGCACCGATTCCCTGGCTTGGCGCTCGGCCTCCGTGAGATGCAGATTGAAAGTCAGGCGGGCCGTCGGATCAACCTGGAAAGATCCCCGAGATCAATGGCATCCACGGATCGAAGGAAAGAAAGAAAATATCCCCCTGTGCCGATCTGGGGGGGCTGAGTTTAAGCCCAGTGTTTTTCAGACCTGGCAACTTTTAAGATTGGGGTGGGGGGTGGGGGGGCTTCAACTCCCGGAATTCCCCGGTCGGCCATGCCTATTTTCCTTTTTCTTCCTCCTATCCCTTTAAAACGGAGAGATGGCAGAGGAGGGGATGGTAGAGAGCAAGCGGGCCACCATGGGAGGGGACGTGTCCGAAGGAGAGCATTAGCGCCAGGGAACGCCGGGAGTTGAAGCCTACCCATTTCCAAGTTGCCAACTTTGAAAAAACCCTAAAGAAGAGAAGGAACGTGGGTGACTGGAGGGCGATCCCAAGGAAGATGGGGGTGGACTCATTCTCCAAAACTTTCAAGGGTAGGACACAAACCCACAGGCGGACAGGTTTTGGAGTGGAGGGGTCCAAATTTGAAATGAGGAGGAATAATATCCCATCTCACAGCCAGAATACTGAAGGGATGGAAAAACTTCCCTTCTGGAGTTAGGGATGCTCCATCGCTGGAGGATTTCAAGCAAAGACTGGACAGCCATTGGTCTGACGTGGTGTAAGACCTCCTGACTTGAGGTCTAGGGGTTGGACTAGAGCAGCGGTCGCAGAACGAGCCACAGAATCAGTGCCAACTCATTTGAACGACCACCTTGGTTAGTAATGGGAATTCTGGTCCCCTAGAGTGGCCGTTAAGTCGACAATGTTGCATTATTTCTAAAATATCTGCTTCTATTGCATTATTTCTAAAATATCTGCTCCTATTGCATTATTTCTAAAATATCTGCTCCTATTGCATTATTTCTAAAATATCTGCT